TGCATGTTTTGTTAACACTCTGATTTTAGATAGCAATCAAATCAAATTCATATGCACAATAAATGAATAGCAGAGAGTACGATCACAATTGATGCAAGCGCGGCGCGAGCAAGCTTCGCTTCGTTTTGTTTCTCTGTTTTTTTCTCGCCTTTTCGTTTATACTGGATGAGGACAAAACTTGATCAAAATTGGTGAAATTAACAATTGAGTTAGGTGTAATGTTTTAGTGTTTTCATTGTTGTTGAGTCTTCTTTTGTCTCTAGCTCAGCCACACATTTCAAAAGGTGCAAATAGTTATGAATGAAATCGAATGTAATCGCAAGGTGAATCTTTGTCGCTCTTTCTCTCTCTCTCTCTCTCTCTCTCTCTCTCTCTCTCTCTCTCTCTCTGAAAACACCTAAAATTTTAAAGCAGGTTGGATTGTTTCATGTCGTTGCTTATTTATATGACATCATAAATACATTTTATTCGAATCGTTAGTGAGTATATTCAAAAGCGCTGATGATACATTGCAATAGAATCGAAACGTAAAATCCCTTGATTTGTTCTATGCTTGCCACACTTTTGTATGTGTACGACTAATTTTTTTTTTGTGAATATTTGCGTCATGAGCAACGAGATAAAAGTAGTGTGGTATTGTCATAGTGTTTGTGGCTTGAAGAAGAGACAAAAAATCGTATAATAAAATGCGAAATATTAAAAATCGTTAAGCTTAATTGAAATATTGTGTCGACAATCGACGCTATTAACTACACATTAAATCCATTTGATGACATTTTTCATTTTATCTATTCACAATACCGGAATAATTATCGGATTTTCACCATCATTTGAGAATTTCCAAACGGTTTGAAGACCACTTCCGCAAAAATACTAGTTTTAAAATGGATATTTGGGCATTTTCGATTTCCAGGCACATTGCGATCTCGGCTGGATACTTCGCAGGTTGCCGAAATTTCAAACACGCACACACAAATATACACTCAACATTTCGAATAGTAGAATGAAATTTTAAAATTGCAATGCATTGATGATATGGGCATAAATACAATAGAAATTTCGTGTATTAGTTGCATTTTGTTTTGCCCTCATTTGGTTGAATTTGACATAAATCGAGCACAATGCAGCCACGAACACACAAATAATTCATTCAGATTGTGGACATGTAGTCGGCACCACACACAGCAATAATAATCACATTTAATTTTCGTTTGGAACAAATCATAGGAGTAACAATTATGATTGTTATTAGTTTTGTATGCGTTGGACGGCGTGTGAGTGAAATGCTGAATAGGTGTCGGGAAGCGCGTCAATAATGTGACAAACGTTTGGCCAGAGCGCGTGTACGTGTATGTGTACGAATACGAGTTCGAGAGAGATGACGAGCGATTGTGTGCGTTGCTCTATGACTGGCATAATTTTTGACAATGACTATTTTATGCCGTTGGACATAACGCATTTGTTTGTTTGGAGGAGTGCAAGTTGAAGTTGGACCGAACTGTTCAAAATGTCCAAACTGAGACAAACTGTGAGGGAGAGAGAGAGAGAGAGAGAGGAGGAACAAGAACGAGAGAAAGCGTCCACATTATCCACGGCGAAATGTGTAAATGTGTGGATTTTTCGTTTGCGGTGCGGCCATTATGATTGTTTATCGTATGAGCTGATATAAATGATGTTAGAGAGACAGAGATATTGAGAAATTATGATGATGACAATAATTACGGATGTATGGTGCTAATGGTCATTGCCATACTGATGAGATGGTGAACGGATACATCAGTTTTTTTTTTCTATTATTGCTGTTGCTGTTGATGTTATTGTTGTTTTCGAATCATGCGGTTCAATTCGTTTTTGCTCTAAATGCCCAACGAAAACAATGCGACTGAAAATTGTCGTCGTTACTGATGCTTCAAAGTTTGGGGATTGTAATTTTGCGTGAACAATTCGTCTATTTCCTGATTCCAACCATTTTCATTTTCCATTTCACTCTTGGATTGCCCTCTCTTAATTGCCCATTTGCCGCAAAATGTATGTATTCGACGTCAAAAACTATTTCAGTCGGCATTTTTCAGCGGATTAACCGTGTGGCTTCAATCTTCTTTCATTAAAAAGTAAATGAATGAAAGGAATGCGTATGTGTGGGGATTTTCAGCAATCAAGACCAACTAATGTCAAATGTGAACAAAGCATAGACACCAAGAATTTTCGGTTGACTAAGTATTTTGGAATTAATATCGGCTTCTCTGTTTCTTCAGCGTTCGTTGTTGGTCTTTGATTTACGTTGTCAACGAATGATTCGTTTTCTCTCTCTCTCTCTCTCTCTCTCTCTCTCTCTCTCTCTATCTATCTATCTTAACTCTTCAAATCGATGACATTCCTTTAATTACTCAGATTCGAACGTGTGTATGTGTTATGCGAAATCGTCAGAACTCTGATGAAAATGTCAGATTGATTCTATGATGCCGCACGGTATATTGTTGCTCACCATAAAGAAACAAATTATTTTAGCTATTTAAGCGATCCAAAATATTATAAAAATTTTCACGGCAATTGGAAATAAATGACGGACCTTATCCAGCATATAGACTCAAGTTGACTCATTACGATTCAATTGTTTTTTTTTTCTTTGCAAACGATTGACTTTTTCATTTTCCAAGTTTAGATCAACCGTTTTTTTTCTTATTATTTCGTGCCAAAAATAATACAATAAACTGAGTTCTTTTTGTTCAAAGCGACGTCACTTTAAACACCATATAAAAAAACAGAAAACAAATGCATTTTGGGAAATGTCATTCTAATTAATTCAAATGATTTTGTTGAATTTGTGCATGGCACGCGTGATGCCGACTCAGTTTGTTTGTTTTTCGAAAGTGATTCAAACGAATTAAGATTCTAAGCGAATTTCGTTATAAACTTAAAATGCCGTCGTGCCACGCGCGCTAATTGTGTTGAATCTTGTGCCTCTCGGTATTTTCTTCTTCCACTCTTGTTCATAATCTAGTGATTTTCTGTTATTTTCCGTGATAAAACCAAATTCGCGGTAAAACCGTTAAGTGGTGAAACGTTCATTAAACGATATCTAAATTTTTGTGCGCTGAGTTTGTCATTTGCAAGCGGAAAAATATGGACAAATTCATTTGGGCAATCGGTCAATGCAATCAGCGATATTCAGATTAATCGAACGCAGAAAATAAAATGCAGAAAAGCAAAGAAAAAAAAAAGAAGAGAAACAGGTACTCATTCTGAACTATGAATTTTCCATTTGTGTTTTTTTTTTCCATTGCTTTCATCGAATTTTTGTTGGCGACAAAATTATTTAAATTTATTAATGAGATTACAGTCAATAAGGTTGTCGACTACAATTCGAGACATTTTTTTGTCCGATTATACTCTGGAGACGGATTATGGCACCGGCCGGTTGATTAGTGGCGCGCACAAAAATGAAAATACGTTTTGGTTGGTTTGCCATCGTATTTGATTCGTTTGTTCGACATTCCCATTAGTATTAATAACATTTTTATCTGGTATGTCGCGCGACTTTTACCATTTTGTTAAGATCATCGAATGATCAAAACAACACAGCCGCAGTGAAAAATATATCGATAATAATTAATATTTTCCTCTCAAAATCGACACAAAGTCAGACAGAAAGAAAAGACCGGAGACAACAACAAAAATAAATGTGCCTACCACGACAGATTCACAGATGTCGATGATTTTTCTTCTTCTTTCGGTGAAATAATAATAGACTGGAAATTGATTCGAATCGCTTGATATAGTATTTATTATGACCATAGAAAGATACATAATTTTGCACCGGAATCAAAATTATGGTGAATAGACGAATTTAAGTGTTATTTTTCATTTTCTCGGTTATCGACAACAAAATCGTGATTCCGTCCTGTCCATGTGTCTTCATTTGACTTGTATTTTTTTTTATATATCAGTCTGAATGATTTTATGAATAATGGCCGGGTTAACAATGAAATTTGCATTATAAGTTATCATTTGCTGTGTTAATCAAGCACCTTAAAAAGTTGCAATGTATATTTTCAGTTTTTTTTTTCTTTTCATACGGCGCGCACATTTGGCTGCAGCTGTTAGTATTTCATTTGCCGGCGCAGCAACGAAGAACAAAAACTATCAAAGCAAAAAAAAAAAACATAAGCAATATTTTTGATACGAATGGATTAGGTATGGATTTTGTGCGATGCCAACCTCGCCTATGACAGTTTCGGGTTGAGCATATTCACACATTTGGTTTTTCCATTTGATCCATTTGAAGTAATGAAAAAATGTAATGAATGAAAAATATAATAAGAGGCTCGGGACAGAACCAACAAAAAAAGGAAATTAACGGAATCATAGAAAATATCCTAATTTAGAATGGAGTTCTATTCACACGAATCCACAATAACATACGCACCAGGGACAGGTACGGCTGAAGCGAACCAAACCAAGTTCATTTGCACCGTAAATGAATATATGGTAATTATGATTAATTACATGAAACGAAAACAAATTAATATGTTTACGGGCAAAAAATGTGGCCAAATGATGCGCGTGAACTAAAGACATCAAAAATCATTGGAACTACCAAAAAAAAAAGAACAAAAATTATTATGTGGCACGATGTAAATAGCACTTCATCGCGCATTGTCGTCGGTATAGTTTATCTTTGCACATACACACGCATAAATAATCACGCACAAACACACTTCAGTTTCTTGTTCCTTCACACTTTTAATATTATCATCGACATGATTTCCTTATTTCTTTAGCGCATTCACAGGCACAACAAACAAACCAAAAATGGACAAGAACAGGAACCGAAAATGAAAAATCAGAACGTTTTAACTTCTTTTTTTTTTCAAACATAAGACTGGTAACCAAATTTAATTTGTTTCACTGTATGTACGCGAATGCAAATCGAATGACGGGAATGATAAACGAAACAAAAAGCCAAAACACAAATAATTTTAATAAGAAATGGAACCTACCCTAGGCTGAGCCATCAATGCTCTGGGAGCGGCTTCAAACTCAATTTGTGCCACTTTCTAGTTTGTGATTACTCACACGACAACTAAATGTTCTTTTTAGTGCTTCAAATGTCCGGAACTTTATGATATTCGTTCTGTCGTATTACTTGTCGGCTATTTCACGATTAGATGCTTATTTAAAAACTTTGTCTACTCGACACTCCAAAACTTGAACACATAAACAGAATTCGATGATCTCTTTTCCTTTAATATTATCTCTTTTTTTTTGGTTGTGACAATAATAATTTACAGAAATTCTTTTAGAGGTTTTCGAAAGTCCACACGCGCGCGAGATCTTGTTCAATTATGTATTGTTATTGTTACTGTGGTTGAATATACGTGTAAATTAAACGTTTCTTGAAATGAGACCAATCACAATTTCACACATAAACTTTTATGCTCACTTTCCGGATACAGCGCTGAACTGTGCTGCGGGTTCATTTGTTTTGCGTTTTTTTTTCTTGCTCGTATGTTTATGTAGTTATACTTCTTTAAGCTGCTATATTCCGCCCCAAAAAGAGTCTTAACTGCGGTATAGTTGTATACTGGTTGTATAAATAATTAGAATTTTTCTGCTAAAATATCTTACTTAATCGTAAACAAAATTGTTTGGATTTTGTTATAAATTATTGAGCAAATCGTATAATTTTGTTTTCGGCTATCAAAGATTGATTCGTATACATTGGATTTCAATCGATTCGGTTTGGGTTTGAAAAATGTTCACATGGGTTTCGATTTATTTGTCAATCGGGTTTGTTATTTTTTTGGTATACAATTGTAGTGTTGTGATAAGTACGTGGTTAAGTTGGGCGCTTTGCTCATTTATCAGTTCATTTGGTTTATATTGGACCGCGGTTCGCGATAAAACTGCACATTGACTATGAAACCAAATGTGCGAAATATGCAGAATATGAACGAATCGGACTGTGTTATCTGTTGGTATTGGTGGATGCGTTTTTGGTGTTACCAAAACGTTGATGCACAAAATTTTCGCACAAATCTTAACACACTGTAACACGGTCAATCGGATAAATTGACCAAATATCGTCTGTCTTTGGTGTCTTTTGTAACTAGCACTTGCACAATAATCACTTTTGATGTTCCACAGTGGTCGTCGATCGTTCGTTCTTGTTTTTTCCCTTTTTTGTTTTCTTTCGTTCAGTAAATCTTAGTTCATTTATTTGTTTTGTTAATGAGGCGATCGCTTCGCTCCCGAATCGTACTCAATGCTAACTTGACATTTGCAAATGGACTTGCTAGTGCTGCGACGAATTTAATTGCACATTGAGTTGGCGCGCTTAAATGATGAAACGGTTACTGCTTTATGCATTTTTTTGCTTCGTGCGTTTTATTGTTACTCTTCCCCTTGTCGCAATCAATGAAATGTTTGTGGCGCTTTTCCTCTTCGTTACTTGAATTTCTCTGCATCAACCGACTTTTTGTTCGTAGTATCGTTTTATATATTTATTTTTTTCTGTTCAACTCGTAGCACTTTTTTAACACTTTTTTTTGGGGAGGTTTTGAATACAGAAATGAAAACTCAAATAAATAAAATAAACGCTGTTGGCATACAGTCGCCACTTGTTTCACCCAGAATCAAATATCGACAAGTATAAAAAATTAATCAAACAACTAGCGCCACGATGAACGGCTATCGTCCATCGAATGCAGTACCGCGATGTGTCCAAAAACAAAACGAAAACAAAAAAATTGCAGCTTTTGAGAATTTCCTAAATAATTGTTGCTGTTGCTGCCGCTGCTGTTGATGTTGTTGTTGTTTTGAATGTTGCAACTCTCGTCGATGGTTTTTTTTTTAATTCGCTGATGCCTCAGCGAATCGTTCACGTTTATTTTCGTATACAATGATAATAGTGCAGCAAAAAACCGGAGTGTTATATCGAATTTGAAAATTTCAGATAATTTAGTTGATATAGTAGGAAAAATTGTATATATGAGTTTTGAAAAACGGAGCGACGTCGCATACACGTCGTACGCGTTTCGAAGGCAAATACACACTGACTTGTCAATCATAAACGAGCTAGCAACAACTGGCGGGGGCAAGATTCCGATGACTGATGGAATTGCACACGCCTTTTAGGCCGTTCCCATAAGCTCTTCATCATCATTGTGATCATTGTTGCGCGCTTACGCTTCCACACGTTCGTTGCTCCGTTCGAACGTGTAGAGAGCAGTCGTCGGCAACGATGATGCGCGAGTGTGCGAGAGTGTGTACGGATGTACGACTGTGCGAGTATTCGAGTTGTACGAGTGCGTGCATGTATGGGTGCATACATCTGTGCGGCCACGCACACATGCACACAGACACACATTCGCTCTCCGAACTGACTGCTCTGACATAATGGTTACCGCCCTTTGGTAAACAGTCTTAGAGCAAGCACGAAATGCTTCGGCTAAGGAGCGGAATCGAGCATCGCACCGATACAGCGCGCACATGTGTTAAAACGAAACGGACAACATTTATCATGTATAAGGGCAGTTACGCGGCGTCAAGCCAAAAAAATTGAAAAGATATATCAATCATTCGCTGGTCGTCTTTCTCTTTCACATTTCGTTCGTTCTTTGGTTCGCTCGCTCGGCGAAAAGAACTTGGAACGAAATATACACGCTCTCGCTTCGATATGATGTATGTGCGACTGTGTTGGTATTGACACATCGGCAAATGGCACAGGTCGGTGGCGAGAGCGAGACGGCACAACAAGAAATGCGCAATGCAAAAACAACAAAAACCAACCGAAAACAGAAAAATTTGAACCAAACCAAACTGAAGCGTGGTATCGTGTTGTACGCGCGAGAGATATGAGAGCCAACGATGAAAGCGAATAGAGAACAGAACGGAAAAGAACAAAACACAAACACATCAGAATCAACGATGTTGATGCTTCTACTGCTTAAGTTGTCGCTGGTGTGATGCCGTTGCAATTTTAGTCGTTTCGTCGTTGTGTGTGATGTGGCCCGAATGCGACGGCCTCTGTGCGCGAGCGAGACGCAAAGCCAAACAAGTAATAAAAACGACAGACGGACACCGTATGAAAAATGTTAATCGAATACCATGCCAGCCAGAGTGAGACAAAACGAACACGCTGAACGCTGAATTTCAGTTGGATCGGAGTCTACGGCTGACGGGAGCATGTTGTACACATGAATCAATGTGCTCGCGCACATTCGACAAAGACGGTCGATCAATGAGAGTGTCATTGGGCGGAAAGCGATAGACGAAGAAAGCATGTTTGATAGATTTTTATGAGTGTGTGAAAAATGTCTGAAGCGACAAAAATCCGCCATTAAATGCATTAAAAAGAGATAGAGACGGTTTTAATGTGCTAATACATCAATATAGGTATGAATATAGATTCGGGCTAGCTATTCGGTGCTAGTGCCGTGGCTCCGCTCTCTACTATTTATTCTACACATCTATGTTGATTCCTATGGATTCGATATTTCTTGTGCATGTGCTAGTGCCAGTGCTTGTGCTTGTGCTTCTGCTCTTGCTCTTGCTCGTGTTTCGGCGATATTTTTTCATTTTCATTTGTGGCGTTTTCCCTTTTCCCTCATGCAAGTCGCTCAACAAACAACTCCAAATCCAAGCATTTTCATTTCCAAACTAACAACACACCTTTGACAAGCAATAACAATGAACGTTCTTATTCGATTAGATCGTTGTTCTTTTTGCGCTTTTCTGCCTTTTATGCTTTTCTGCGAGCAAAAACTACACATTTTATCTTTTCAAATTATTTGTATGCATTTCACTGGAATTCGAATCTTCATCTCAAATTGTAAATTATAATTTCATTTCATTCCATCCGATTCGATTCGATTCGATTCGACTCGACTCGATTCCATCTCTCTGCTGTTGCTCTGTTGTTCTGTAACTCCGTCTACTTTTTCTTCTACTCTGCCTTCTTTGTCTAGTTTTCTTACCATTGTTTTTGCTATTGCTATCGCTATTTCAATTTCTCTATCTATTCCTAGATATGCCCTTCGAATCTGAGTATTTTATGGCATCGATGAATCGACGATTATCTTCATGACATAATTATGACGGTCATTGAAAATGGGAGATGAAAAATTACGGAATACTTTAATTTTTACGATATATTTACATTGGAATGGAACTAGGTTTGCGGTTTTGGGTCGATCGTGGCAATCGGAATAGACAAAATTAGACAAGAAAACGTGTGCAACGATGACCGCGTTTGTATCCATTTGATGTTGGTGTTTCGAAGTTTGGCTAAGAATGTTTACCCACAACTTCAAATGTGGTATATCGAATTCGATAAATGTAACCATCGTTGAATCGTCAAAGTGAGTTTGTACTCTCCATATGAGGTAGGTGCGCGCCAAATGGACGATGAATTTTCGGAGAAAAAAAATTATTTAGCGCTTCCATAGGGGTATTGCAACGACCATAAAATATATGTATTTCATCAAGTTTATCAAGCTCTTTTTCCAAGTTTATGCATAGTGTCGAACTTATGTTCAAGCTCTACCATCTAAATGTACAGTAAAATAATTTACGGGCACGACGTAAGATGGCGTTTTTTCTGGTAAAAAAAGTTGCAATATCCCTTTGAGCGCTTCGTTCGTATTGACTACGTTGGTCGAAGGCTGAAGGCAAGAAAAATAAAGATGATATCCGATTGAAATGAAAACTAAATCGCACGTTGAACCGGATAGTGCACGCATGATAAAATTATTTAAACAAAGCACACGGTTACAAGCCACGACCAGAAAGACACGGCGACAGACCAAAATCTGTAGCGAAAAAGGTAGCAACAAACAAAGCGTTTGGTTCGCATGTGTACTGCGTTCGAGCGTGTGTTTGTTGTGCAGTAGTTGTTGTAGTAGAAAAATTTATGGCAATTAGGGGTTAGAGATATTGCATATAATGGATTAATACTGAAATTAAGGTTTCGTATCCCTATTATATATAATAAATTTTATTTCTCCATAGTCGTGGTCGCTGTCGACATTGTTAACGTTGCTGTTGCTGCCGTTGCCGTAGCTGCTTTTTTTTCATCTTCTTTCTTTCCAAGTCTATTCTCATGATTTAATACTTCTTCGTTCGACTGTCACTGCACTTTGACAGCAATCGAATCGTTCGATGCTTTGAATTTAGTCACACTAACTAAAATGCGATTTGTTATGTTTTGCCATATTTTCACTACACTTTCACAACATATTATGATTTTTATTATTGTTTTTCTTGCCGCTAGTATCGATGCGTTTACGCTCAGCCTACAGTAAATGTGACTCTTGAAAGGAGATATGTGCGTTTTTTTGTGTATTAATTTACGATGATGTGACATTTGTGTATTTGGATTTTAAATAGAATATGTATAAACATGGGTCTGCATCGATCGGTTAGTATGAATGAAACGAAACGAAGGAAAAAAACGCACGCGAGAAACATATTCAGGATTTATGTTTATCGAAAAACAAGCGCACGCACTCACACAATAACCAAATACAACCGAAATCAATGCAATAGTTTTTTTTTGTTGGTCGACAATTCAAGTGTTCATTGGCAATCTGTTGATTTTATTATTGGCGTTATGGTTTGGTCCGCTCTAACCAACTTGCTCTATTGCTTTTCTACATTAGTCACAAACTACTTTTAGCATATAGACACATAACAATTAATAGATTTGTTCCGTCAATTTTGTGAATGGAAATTTCGAACAAATAATTTGTCGTTTCTGAGTTTTAAGAGAGTATTCTTGTGCCGACGGAATAAAGTAATTAATTTCAAAACTTTTTTATTTGTTTGATAGAAAATATTTTTTGTCTGTTTTTAGATGGAACAATATCGTTATGCTGCGACAATTTTGATTCATTATGTGCATTACCGACATTTTCGTGATATGACAACGATGGAAACGTTTAACGTTTTGTTGTTGTTGGTAAAATCGCCAAGTTGAACTATTTATTGCGACAAAAGGCAGCCGAAAATATTCGGAAATTCGTGTGATGTTCACGTCGACAACATTTAACCACGTTAAATGATCGATCGAATACCACGTCAATTTCTTTTATCATTCAATTCGATTTTTATTTTGTCATTGGAAAACTAGAAAACCAATCCAAAAACGTGAAAGATGGCAAAAGTTTTTGCATTGCCAACATTTTCCATCTCTTTCCCTCTCTCATTCGTTATCTCTTGTTGGCGCGGTGCTATTGTAACAAGCAAATACTGCAGTGGAACGAATGGAAAAAAAAAGTATAGAGAAAAAAATAAACAAGCCGAACCCGAAAAAAAATGCTTTAAAATTACATTAATTAGCACTTTAGTGTGGCAATCGACAACGCTGATAATCTCGATTCGTGTAGCTAAATCTCTCAATCGAGAAAATACAGGAGACTCATATTCAGGTTGATAGACGTGAATTGACACTATCGGTAATACGACGACACATTTTATGTGACCAAAAATCGTCTAATCTGCTTCTCCTTCTTTTTTTGATATTTCTTTTTGTGGCTTACAGCTCACTTCAGTATTTTCCATTCGACAAATTAAACGACGTGTCATTGTTTGAATAAAACGATTTGTCATTAGGTATAGCATGAATGTGAAAATTCTAGACCGGTACAAGGCTCATTTTATGCTAATATTGAGTGTCGTCTTTTCACATACGCTCTTGAAATGCCCGTGTTCGAATTTTATTTGGATTTTTCTAACTAATTTTTTTTTTTCCTCTGTGTCTCCAATAAATGAACAACTTAATTCTAAACGTACATGAAATCGGTTTGAAAGCGAATAATTGATAATTCAACATGAATTAATTAATTCATCACCGCCAATGAGTTCAGTTGAATGTGTAATATGCCACTCGGCCGGAGTTTTTAAATTTTACGAAATCGGCCATTTAATTCACTTACGAATTGGCATTTACATTTTATTTTTGTTGAAATCTGCTTCGAACTTCGGCCAATTCTGGCTGGGCATTAGAAGTGAAAACTGTTTGGAATTGATGTCAATAGACAAATATAATGATTGAAATGCACGAAG